TGGGGCAAGCAAGGTGCCCTACCTGGGTACAGATGGGGGGAAAAGCAGGGCAGCCCTGGCCCCTTGGGACTACCCGGCATGGAGGGAAGAGACGCGGGCTGAGGGCAAGCCCCTTGCCACTGAATAGAAACCTCAGGGAAGAGCGGGGCAAGGACAACCTTCCTGAAGCCTCGTGAGGGTGATGAGCTGGTTCGGGGTGTGTGTGGCTGCATGCCTGGGGAGTGGCACGTGTGGGAGAGTGGCCCCAGGAGCATCTTCCCCTGGGAGCATCCCTCCCAAATACCCAGGAGCATCTTCCCCTGGGAGCATCCCTCCCAACCCCGCGGGAGCATCTCTCGCACCTCTATCCGGTCGATGCGGTCCTGGAGGGTGCGGACAGCCTCCTCCAGCTCCCGCACGGCGGGCGGCTCGTCGGGGGGGTGGCCCATGGTGCCGGGGCGCGGGGCGGCGCGGAGCCCGGCGGCGGCGGGGGGCGCGGCGGCGGCGGGGGGGCTCCGCAGGCCGCCCTCGCAGCGGCTGAGCTTGCCGGTGAGCTCCCGGATGGTCTCCTGGTCCATGCGGATTCGCTCCTTCTGCTCCAGCGCCGTGCGGCGCAGCTGGGCCGCCGCGCTCCGCAGCGCCAGCAGCTCCTCGGGGCCGGCGCCGGTGCCGGCGGCGGGGCCGGTGCCGGTGGCGGGGCACTCGGTGCTCAGCGGGGTGCAGACGAAGCGGCTGAAGAGCGGCGGCCCCCCCGGCAGGCGCGGCCCGGCGCTGGCCAGAGCCTCGGCGGGGCCGTGCAGCGCTCCCAGCCCCTTGTCGGCGGCGGGCAGGAGGGCGGCGGCGGCCGAGTCATTGTCAGCGGCGGCGGCGGGCGCGGCGGTGCCGGCCGGGTGGACGCTGGCGATGATGCAGATGATGGCCCCCAGGAAAGCCAGCATGCCCGCCGCCAGCAGCACCGCCAGAAACTTCAGGGTGGCAGCGGCGTGGGGGGCCCGAGCCCGCGGACGGCGAGAAAAACAAAGCGGGAGGGGATGGAGAGGGGAAAGGACGGACGGAGGGTGGATAGACGGACGGGCAGCCCGGAGGAAGCCGGCGGCGAAGGACGGTACCGGCAGCAGCACCGGCGCCGGGGCTCCACCGCGCCGCGCCGCGCTTATATGTGCCGGGCGGCGCCGCCCGCACCGCACCGCACCGCCCCCGCCGCCGCCCCCGCCCCGGCCGTGCCCCTCTCAGCGACCCCCCTTGCCCCCGAGCATCCCTCCCCGGGCTGCAAGGGCGAGGGTCTGGGCGAGGGGAGGCGAGCGGGCAACGGGCGCTGGAGACGGGGAGAGGAGGGGCGGCACTCCGGGGGCACCTGGGGACGGGGCCAGCCCTGGCTCGGGCTCGCTGAAGTCTGCCTGGCGGGAGTTTCCGGCGAGAGGATGCTCCTCTGGGACAGCCCAAGGGAGGATTTTCCCCTGCGAGATGCCGAGGCTGGAAGTAAAGGGCCCCTCGATACTCCGAGGGTGAGTGCCTCCTAATCAGGCATTCCCTGGGAGGGTCTTTCGGGCCTTTCCCTCCTTACCTTTATCTTAAAAATTAAACCAGCAACTTTCCAGCTCTTGGAAGTGGCTCTCGAGGAGGGCACAGAGCGGCTGTCTTGCTCTCCCACCTCAAACAGGACTGTTGCAGAGAGCGGTCATGGGATGCCTGACCCTCCAACCTGCACACCTGTGCTATCCATTTGGGAAATAAATACCCATGTTTAATCTTCCCCCACCATTGCTGTGTTCTAAACTACTCATAAAGGAGATACTTCAAGACAACCACTTTCTCCTTGCTCCGACACCTCACTTGCCTATGAGACACAAGCTGTGCCATGCCCTCTCCTGTTCCCCAGGCACATCGGGGCCTTGGCAACGCAGCTCAGCCAAGCCAGGAGCACAGGAGGGAAAGCGAACAAAATTGATTTCAAGCCCTGCTCAGTAATGGCAGGAAATCCTTCTTAGCCAGCAGGGAATCGGCAGCATGTGTGTTTAAAACAGCTCCAGTGCTGGATGTGAAACACCAGTAAAGATTACATCTTCTTTCCTCCCGGGCATATTTGAGTGGATAGCAAGGGAGCTAAGAGCTACAGACTCCTCAGGTTTGGCTTCATGGGAGCAGGGAGGGGAATGCTGCTGGCAGGATACAGTCACCCTTTCTCCCCATGGAGTACATTGTGCCCCAGCCCCTCTAAATCCTCACCCTGGAGCCAGCAAGAGACCTGCCTTACTCATGGTGTTGGAAGGCTGTGAGGAGGAGGAGAGGAAGACAGATGGGGCGGTTAAGGAAGAGAATCAGGTAATCGTGAGGAGGAAAGGTGGATGGACATGGAGCAGGCTGAGCAGGTGGATGTGAGGGAAGCCCGAGCACGAAGTGTCTGGCCCCAGCGGCAAGGCCAGCGAGCGCTTTGGAAGGGTGAGTGTTTGGTGTGCTGGGACAAGTGGGCGCTGCTGTGGGATGCAAAGAAAACAAGAGCCTGCACCCTGCAGCATGAAGGGAGGCCACCAGCCTCCAACCCACCCCTTCCTAGTGGCGGCAGGCGACTGCACCCCCGAGAGTCACTCCCTGCCTGCAGCATGCCCACCCCTGGCAGCGACCAGGCAGGAGCAGATTTGAAAGGAACCCATGTGAGTGCTGGACCAGCCCACTCTACCCCAGAGTGTGCAGATCCGAGGGGAGGGACAACCTTTCCCTGCATCCCTGTGAAGAAAAATGCTGTACACTTCTACAAAGCTTTTTGTGACCCCAGTTGGAGGACGTGTTGCTGTGCTGGGGACTTTGCACTGTCCTGGACATCCAAATTTTATTGCCAGAGGCTGCAGGATTATGGTGGCAAGGTTCATACCTCTGTCAGATGCTGCTCTGGTGGTGAGTGGGGTGGGCGAGCCCCTCTGCACCAGCCCTGACCCACTCACCCATGCTGGGTGGGGGAAGAGTTTGGTACACAGCAGGGCATGGCTCGCTGCTCCTGGGGTCCTGACCTCTCCCTCAGCAGGGACCACAACTTCTTCCCGGAGACAAAAGAGGTGGCAAAAATAGATTTTCACAGGGGGGGATGACTCAGACTGGTGAGTAGCCAGAGCAACCTCCCTGTCCCATGAATAACAATTCAGAGGTGCTGGATGGGCAAGGACACAGTGCTGCTGAAACCCTGCTCTCCTGCAGGTGACAGGGCAGGGGAAGGAAATATGGGGCTCTGGGGAACCCTGTTTTGAACGAGATTGGTGACAGAAGCTGGATTTAACAAGAACTCATGGATTCAGCCCAGAGGGATGGGGAGCAAGGTTCTAAGGGATTTTGTTCCGTCTAAAAGAGTCTGGGGCTAGCAGCTGTCCCTAAGGGGTGGCTGCAGACAGGGCAAGGCAGAACAAGGGGCCACCCTGCTGTGGCTCTTGTGTGAGAGGGACATTTGGAATGGGCTGCTGGCATGAGGGGAGAGACACCTGCTGCTTCAAGGCTGCCCCCATCCAACCCTCCTTGCAGGAGCAAGGCAGGCCCAATGAAATCCTGGCCAGAGTGAAATCCTGGCCCATTCACGATGCTCAGGTCAGCAGAGTGCTGGGAGTGAGGAAAGGGGAGAGCCTTTTCTCACGGGAAGGTAACCTCATGCCGCTGGGGTTCCTCCCCAGGGCCACCCTAATGACACAAAAGGGCTCCTCTGCCATTAACCATTCCATGGACCCAGCTCCAGTCTCCTTAGACCAGGAGCCTTCAGTCTGTCTTGCCTGAGGATCTGCAGACTACATATACCTTGGAAATCCTGGCTTCTCTCATTTCCAGGTCTCTCAGCCCTGCAGATGTGACCTGTGTCACCTTGCCCTGGTTACATGGCCTGCCTGCACCAGTGTGCTGGTGCCGGACCTTGTTGGACGTGTCCAGCCAGGCTGGCCTCTTCAGCCTTCCTCCTGCTCCAGAAAGTATGGCTCAGAGGTGGCTTCATTGGCCGCTCTCGAATCCAGCAAAAGCTCACTGGCCTCTGAACAAAACCAGGGTGCAGGGACAAGGGAGGCAGTGCCAGCCTCACAGGTGTTTTGGCACGCAGCAGAGGCAAGGTGAGCCTGGTAGTGTGACATAAATAGCACACCTTGGCTCTGCTTGGCTTTGGTGGGCAGCGTTCCACGCTCCCAGCCAGCCAAGACATGTCACCACTGGAGTGGGCTCTCCTGTGGCTTTCCAAACCTCAGACACTGCAGATATCTAAAGCAACTCTCTCCCAGGAAGCCACAGCTCAGCCCTATCTCTCCCCTCCAGATCACACCATCCCAAAGGACAGCCCTGAGGATATTTTGGTTGGAGCCAGCTGGTGACACCCCACAGCTGAGCCCAAACACTGCCCTTTCCCAGCACCCAGAAGTTTTACCTTCCTACTCTTCTCTCCCAGCTGCCTGAAGAGCATTGCTGCCCCAACCTCATCTGCTTGCCCTATCGCATCTCCACCACCGGCACTTCCCCACCTGAAGGTTTGCTGTAGCTTTCTGATGCAGCTGCTGTGGGCTGGAGACTAATGGAGTGAACGTGGGGCTTCAATTTCACACAGGGACTCTTTTTCACCATATTTCTTAGATTAGCGTGTCATACATTGTGCTTAAGCACACGGTCTGGAGTTGGGAAAAGCCTGAAGCATTTTTTAGCCACCAAGTGCTACGTAGTACTCGGATCTAATTTCATTTTTAAAAGAAAAGGATGTGTGGGAGACTGGTGGGAGATTCTCCGAAGCACTTTGGAAGGAGGGGTTCAGGTTCCACTTGCTACAGCTTGGCCTTCGCCAAGTGCTCCCTCTTGCCTTAACATTCCAGAATTCTCCCTTGTCTTTTGTCGGAGCTTCTCTGTGTCCAGAAAGGTCCAAAGACTGCAACCACGACTTGACCCACGGTGCCCAAGAAGGTACCAAGTGTGTCTGACTGCAGAGCTGATCTCTGTTGGCTCAGGGCAGCTGTTTCAGCACCCCCACTCCCCTCTCCACAGGTCACAGCCCACCCAAGGAAACAATAACAGGGTTTGGAATGTAACAATTTATTGGGGTTAATTTTTTGTTTTAATTTTTAACTCCCCATTTCTGGCATTGATACAATATTCAAGAGCAGCAGAAAGAACAAAATGTACAAGAATACAAGAGTAATTAGCACAACCCCCACCCCCAAACCTGGAGCAAACCATTTTCTTGTGGGAAGCACCAAGGGAAGGGGTGATTCAATCACCCCTCCAATGGCTATGCCTCCCACCCATCCGCTCTAGACAGAGTTTAGCCAGCTGGGAACTGGATTAAAAAACAAAACAGAACAAAACCAAACAAACACTATATTTAAAATGAAAATTGCAAGACAAAAAAAATAATATATAGATATACAATTCATCCGTGCACAATCCTTAAATGCATTTTTTTCAAAATAAAAAAAAAATACAAGATACATATTTAGGTTTATCTTAAATTAAAAAAAAAAAAAATCACCACCTTCACTCTGTAGGCCAAGTGAGGGGAAATGAAGAGACAAATGGGTTGCACCAGAACTATCAGCACTCTTAGGAGTCAGGGCTGACCTTCTCCAAGAGAAAGGATAGGGCTCTGATGCTGCCAAAGCTCAAGCACAGGCAGAATCTGAAGCACCCAAGTACCACAGAGCTCAGTGGGGTCACTCGCCTACTCCAAGTTCAGTGTTTACAGGAAACTGCAGGATTTGAGCCTAAGCTTGGCACAGGGGAAGGTGAAAGGAAGGAACAGATGAGGCAGGCCCCTGTCCTCCACCACCGGCAGACAACTTTCTATGCAAAAAGAAAACAAACGGGGAAAAAAAAAATCCCAAAATAGAGAGTCTCCTCTATTCTTTGGGAGCATAAAAGGCTTAATGGCAGAGGAGAGAATAAGAGGGAGGACAGCACACCAAGTTGATTTGCTTGGGGGAGGCACAGGCATGACAACTCTTTTCTAAAAAAAGTAATCACAACGATTAATTTTTTTGTTCCATTTGAGAACTTGACCTAAGACTCCATCCCCCTTTGCAGCTGGGGGCCAGAAGCAGCAGGCTCCTTCTAGACAGCTGAAGAGCAACCAACCTGAAGAGCACCTGGGGGGCTGCTCAGGAGCACAAATGGGCCCCACTAGTCCTACCAAGTGTTTCGACCCACCCAACTGCATTCCAGAGGTTTAGTGTGAGCTCTAAATACTCGGCTGAGCAAGGAATAAAGAACCAAGGCCCTGCAATGGGAATTAACACTTTGTCTGCATGTCCAAACCATGCTCTTTCCCTCCCACCAGATACATTTTCTGAGCCACTGCTGAAGGTGGCATCACCCTGACTGCACATCTTGCTGCTCTTCTGTCACCTGACTTTTCCCTGTGCCACGGCATGGTGCTTGCTATCCCCTTCCCAGTTCTGCTCAGCCCAGGAGTGCAGAGGGCATCTCCACTCCTCTATCACAGTGCCATCTACCAGTGCCTGAAGGGAGCCAGCTCAAAGCACAGCACTTACCTGGGTGGAAGGACTCTCACCCCAAGGACTGTGCTTTTGGATGGTCCCAGAAACATAATTTCCCACAACAGAAAAGGTGGAAGGGACAGAAGAGCTTCCAGAGGCAGCCCACCACTCCAGGAAGGGGAACTGACTATATCTCCCTTCATTTCTGGAAGGAGAAATTTAGAGAAAGGAAGAAAGAAGAACTCAGGGCCCTGCCACATCCTTACAGGTGAGGCAGGTGGAACACAGGGCATCTCAGATGCACCACGCAGAACACACACAAAGCTTCTGGAGCCAAGGCTGACAGTGCACAGACAAGGGTGCAAATGTCTCTGAGCACATCAGTCTGACAGAGGGCAATGCTGAAATGGGAAAGGAGCAGAGGACGGAAAGGCCAAGGTGAGGACGGAGACAGACTCCAACATCTCCTCCCATCTACACCCCCAAAAAGAAATCATACACATTGCACTCTGGAGAAGGACATCAAAAATATAAGTAAAAAAGAAAATAAAGTCACTTATTTGCTCAACCCCAAAGCATTGGTGACATGAAGATACTTCCTAGAGTTACCTGGGGAAGGAAGCACGGACAAGGAGTGGGGGATTTCTGAAGCAATGCTCAACACTCGGTCTTCTGTGCAAATGCCTCGAGAGTTGCGCTGCCAGCACCCTCAGCAGGATGGTCCCTTCTGCTCCTGTCCCCTTCCCATGAGGGAGACAGAGGAACAGGGCAGTGACACAGCTGAGAGAAGGGCCATGGCAAGCCAAGAAAGAACAGAACCCAGGAGACACCAAATCCCTGACCCCAAACTAACCCTCTACAGCAGACCACCTTCAGAGCGGAGATTAGGAACGCTGCGCGCGGGGTGGGCGTGGTGAGATGGGGAGAAAGAGGGGAGAGGGAGGTTTCTTTTATATTCATATATTTATATATAAAAAGTAAATAAGATCCCAGCTCTTGCGTGATTATTGGGTAATTGAAAAATGCAGCAAAAGCAAGCGACATTGGAGTAAAAGGATGCGCCAGGCAAGGAGGAAAAAGTCTTGTCAGAAGGTGGGGAAGGAGGCAAAGGGAAAAATAAGCACTTAGCCAAACACGCACTCCAGGTTTGTTACACCCCCCTGGGAAGAAGGACCTGGCTCCTGAGCAGCCCCACTAATGCCATGACCTGGAATGGGCAAGTGTGGGGGACTCAAGACACCATCCTTCAGCATGGCAACCTCTTTCTGCCAGGAGGTCCCCAGGAAGGTGATCATCTCCAAACGCTGGGAGCTGCCAAAGCCTCCTCTACAAAGAGGGGCTGGAGAAGGGAGTGAAATCCCTAGGAAGACTCAGCTCAGAGACAGCTCCTATCTGGTAAAAAGCATGATTGTGGTTCTTTTTTTTTTTTTTTATTATTATTTTTTAAATTATTATTTTGTAAAATCTCCCTGGGAACTTCAGTAAGAGGAGACCCAGAGAAATGCTCCCTTTCTCTTTTGAAAACAGAAATTAAGCAGTGGCTCACCACAGCTGGGCCTGCTCACCACACTATTTCTATTTTCCATCCCGAAAGGAGCTTGTATCTCATTAGCTTCGTGCCTCCCCAGTCCCACTCTGCTCAGTGAGAAGAGGGCACGAGACAGGAGGCTGCTGCTCCAAGTAAAAAGCTGTGGGAAGCACTGACAGAGCTCAATAGGCAAAGAGAGGAGAAGTTCTCAGGAGCAGCCCAGGCTATGGGAGGCATCAAGACATCTGTCACCCGCCACTGCAAAGCCAAGGGCACCAGAGAAGTCCAGAGAAGAAAAGCTGTCCAAGTGTCCCTGCCTGCCATCTTCTGTTCAGACACCAACATCTGGTAGCTTCTCTCTTCCTCCAGGCACTCCCACACAGCAGATGAACACCCAGCAGAAATCCTGGATGAGGAAGCCAGCACACAAGAGTTCCCTCTCGCTCTGAAGGAGCGTTTCGGCTACTCTGTCCCACCGCCCTGCAGGAAGCTGAAGCAGAAGGCTGCCCTACTTGAGCAGAGTCCTATCAGGGTGTTCAACTCCCGTTCCCATACCAAAGACTTCCAGCATTTGTTGGCCTCAAGAAGAGGGTTCACCTCACTCAGCAACACCTTCAGAGCACACAAGGCAGCTCTCTCATCTACCTCTAAAGATCCAGCCACTGTTGGAGAAGAGACACTGGACTACATACCAATGGGACTCCGCTCTCTGCCCTGATGTGGTGAATCCTATACAGAAAAATGCCACTCCCCACCTGATGCTGGAAGAAGCTAAGAGACCCTACAGAGGGGAGGCATATCTGCTTCCCAGGAAATAAGCACACCGTGATTAATTCTGCTTGGATATAGGGGACGGAAAAGAGAAGAGACAGCAACTTGGCAGGAAAAGTACATGCCAACCCCAAATCTCAGCAGCTTGCTGTGCATGCAAAGTAAGTCAACTGTTTCCATGTTGATGGCATGATCCACGTTCTGGCAGAACGTGACCGGCCATTTCTGAGGGCCGCTCGGCCAGAAAACCACTTGGAGACTCCACCTTAGCTCACAGGAGAGGTATGGGAGGGAAGGGAACTCACTCCAACACTTGGGAGGCAAGGACGGGAAAGGTTTGTAGACAGGGTTCCTCCAACATGCAACTTGCCTTTTCAGCTCGGAGATTGCTGCTTAGTCCTAGAATGCCTTTCCCTCCAGTTCAAGCAAGCCAAACACCATCCCAGACATACATGCTTCGATACTACAAAATACTCTTTTCTCTAAGGACCATCTAATACCACTACAGTTTGTGCAATCACTGCATTTATTATTCATTTTTAAACTCTCTCTCGCTCTCTCCCTGTAGAAATTTTTTTTAAAACTTTTCTTTTTTTATGCAAAACTAATCATTTCACTTTTTCCACTCCATCATAAAATCTCCTCTAAAAACACGACAACGAGAACAAACATGGCACAGACACAGAGAATATTTCCCTGTTTTTGTTGGGTTTTTTTCCTAGGGGTTATCGGAAAGGGAAGGGGATACTTTCAAATAAACTCCTCCCTCAATTCCATGCCCTTTTTAAAAGGCATAGATGAATCTTCTTTCCCATCTCCCCTATAAGGAGCATGGGCAAAAACTCAGAAGGAGGAGCATCACCCACGTGAATACGAAGGTAGGTTAGTCAGCCTCAAGCGTCTTGTCCACCTGAAGGAACTTGAGGCTGCTGCTGCATTCAAGTTAGCAAACCTCTAACTTAAAACAGCACCGGATCCTCATTTCGGATCCAGAGGTTCAGGGTTTGGTTCCCACCTGGTGACCCACCCAGGGAGGGATTTGTCACACAAGCAGGTGAGCTGTGTCTGCAAGCCGGATCATGCTCCCTTCTTCCTCCACAGAGGATCTACTGCACGAGTTCTCTGCTGCAACAAGTCCTCTCATTTCCTCACTGCACAAAGAAAGTCCTTGCGGAGCATCCCTACAATGACCCACTGTTTTGCTCTTCACAGACAGTTCCCTTGCTTGTCACTCTGGAGAAAGGCAAAACCCCTTCAATTAAACAATTCCTGCCCCTTGCCCCCAAAGAACACCATACAAGAGACACTGGGGAAAAGAATTCTGCCAAGCAACACATCTTGGCCAAAACACATCAAGAGTTTCCTATTAAAGTTCCCTTTTATCTCCCACTTAAACGCTTCAATATTTTTTTCAGAACCTCGATACCACGAAACAAAACACATCACCACATACACACCAAACAGTAACTTAACAACCTAAAGTGACTGGCTGGTTTGCATCCACCCCACAAAGCAGCTCCTCTTATCTTGCAGCCACAGATTAGTTCTTGTTCAGAAGGGAGAGGAAAAAGAGAAGAATCTCCTTGCTATTTTCCTAAGAAAGAGGTTTTCCCTATGCCTACAAACTGCTCATCTCTGAAGCTGCAGTCAAATGGATAGGCTATGCTAAAATAAGGGATCCTTGGGTGTGCCAGGCACGGGAAAGATGCAAAAAAAAACAAACTAAAGGAAAAAACAAACAAACAACCCAACCTCCACAAAAAATACAAGCAGGTATTAATACAGACAAGCACACAAGTCCAACAAGTTATAGGAAGCCTTAACTTGGTGAATGGATCAGGGAAGTTTCTTTCTCCCTGCCCCTAGCTTTAGCTATGAATGAAAGCACATCCCCAAAGAGTCCACTAAGCTCTTTAATCAAGGAAAGAAAAAGAAAGAGGTGTACAAAGGGTGGTGCTAACAGCACCTGGAATCCCCCTCGCACTATCTGCACAGACACCCAACCGCAACTGGTGTGAAATCATGGTGACCCACAGCCTGAAATGCCACCTGCTCTGAGACAAGGTTTGTAGGGAGGGCAGCAAAGATTTTATTACACCAACCCAGGCACTGGAGGAAAGGAATAGACAAGCTCTGGGCACAGAAACCCTAATTAAGGTTAGAAGCCGGTCTATCCCTCTACCACTCTGACGATGTCCCTTGGGCAGACAAATATTACTTCCCTCCCACAAATTGCCTCCCTTCTACCCTCAGATCACTGCAACCACAAAATCGCTACTCCGCATGAGAGCACTCCTCGAAGCCAGCAGCTCCTGAGCATCCTTGTGTGAAAGCACCAGAGGGGCCAATTCCACTTGTGTTTACCCACCCAGGGCAATGGGCCCTGGCATGGGGAATTTTTTCCACCCTTTTCACCTCTACAGCACGTTATGTAGAAGTGACACCCCTCTGCCCCATCCAGGGACAGGGCTGAAAGGGTGAGGTTCTCCCACCGATTGAGCAGCACCTCTTTTCCTTGCCCCTGCAGGCCGAGTCCTGTGAGAGCAGAGGAAGTAGAGAGCAAAGGAACGGCATCTCACCGTGAAGCTTAGGACCCACACAGAAACAGAGCATGCCAGAAATGGCAGGCAAAAAAGAGCTTATTTTGGATGTGAACGAAGGTGGTCGGGGAAAAAGGGAGCTCGGGCAAAGAACACAAAGCTGTGGTCTTGCTCCCTCCTACTTGCTAGGGATGAAGAGAAGGAATTTCTAGATCAGCTCACAGGAGCTTGGGGGAAGAGATCCCAGCACACATGCACATGGTGTGAGAGAAACAGGTATTTCTTATGAGCACCTTTGGTTGACAGTTGTAAGGGCTGTTTCAGATGCTGAAAAGACAAGAGGGGAAACCTCTTCCAGGCCACCCACCACAGGGAGGGGAGAGCAGGAGAAGCAAAAGCAAGCAGGAAGAGCAAATGACCTGCCTTAGCATCCACCCCTCCCTCCTTTGGAGGGAGCAAGAGGAAGCAAAGAGGGTCGGGGGAAGCTTACGCACACGGCAGGAGACCAGCCTCACCCGGCTGGGGCAGCATCATGCTGTTGGCGTCGTCTTCCCCCAGACTGAAGGGTGGATGCACAGCCCACTCCCACTTCCACCACAGAAAGGCCAGGGAAGGGCATTTCATGCCCTCTCCCCTGAGCAAGTGCAAGTGATGAACACCAGGAGGAAGATCTGGGCCGGAAGCAGACTCCTCTTTTCTTCCCTTTCTCCTGCAGAGCTGAGCAAGTTGGAAGATGCAGGAGAAAGGGAGGGACTAGGGCACCTGAAAGCACCCATACAACTGCCAAGGTAGCACCAATAGTCAAAGGAAAGGGGAAGCCAGTATGGGGCATATGGTGCATGGGGCACCCCCATCACCCCAGCTTTGTCTCAAGCACCTTCCAGGCATGACACTTCACCTGCCCTTCTTCTCCTTACTCTGGTGGCATCTGGATCAGCAACTGCCATGAGGACAGTAGAAGAGAGGGCAGATCCAGGCCACAGGCCAAGAGGGGAAAGGATGGCAGGGTCGTACTCATAGCAAGGGGGAAACATAGGAATGGAAGAGACTGCATGCACATTGTGGGAGAAGGTTTGGAGGACGTGGGCAAGGGCTCCAATCCTCTTACATCCTTCCCTCAAGGGTCTGGAGCTTGTCTTCAGTTTTTGTCAAAGATGGAAGGGTAATGAGAAAGAGCAGCACCTTCCTCATCACCTGCACAGGCACACAGACACATGCTCACCCATCCCTCAGTCCCAAAGGCTCCACTGCCTGTTGGACAACACCACATTCAAGGACAAACAATCACTCCCCAGCCCCACCACAACCCTCCCTGCCTCCTCCCAGCGGCACTAACACCCAGGAACAGGGGGTGCTCCCACACCCCCAATGACACGCTTCCAGCCTACAGGCAAGAGAAAGTGGGCAGAAGGAAAGGAGGAGGAAGGGTGGCAGTGAGGGCACAGGGACAGCCAAGGGGAGAAGGAGAGAACTAAGGACAGCCATTCATACCACCACTTCTCGCAGGTAGAGTTCCCCCCACGCCCCTGGAGTGGGGGGACCTGGCTGCTCACTTGCTGCCTCCTCCACCACCACCCGCTGCCACCTTCTCAAAATCCTCTGCGTTGCAGAACTCTTTGATGGTTACGGTGAGGAGGTTGCTGGTGACATCCGTGACCACCACGTTTGAGCAAGGGGACATCTCAGGACGCCAGTCGCCGGCCTCCTGCTCTGGGTCAGAAGAGGAGAGGGACAAGGAGGGCGTCTGCCCCCCGCTGCACCCTCCTGAGGGAGAACGCTTGCTGATGGCAGCCGACTCGGGTGGGATTGAGAGGTCAAGGACCTCTGACTCACGCCAGTCGGGGATGGCTGGGCTGAGGGTCTCGGGGAGCAGCTTAGGAGGGGAATCATCTGGGTCAGAGGAGGAGTGGGGAGCAGGTGATGGGCAGCCAGAGGAGCTGGAGCTGGGAGCATCATAGGGGGTGGAGCCCATAATGAGCCCACAGGAGGCTGCCTGGGAGCCTTCTGCCTCCCCCTTGCCCTCCAAAGAGGGAGTAGGAGTAGCAGACGGCTTATTGTAGAGGGAAAAGGTGCCAAACTTCATGTGGCGGATCTGGGTGCGGAGGACGCTCTCGCTGAACTTTTTGCTCTTGCCAATGACACGGTTTCGGGAAGGGATCTTGGGCCGAGCCAGGCCCCCGGTTCCGTTGGCTGGCTTCCCACCTTTGTCGATGACTTTGAGGTTGAGGATGATGCGGCTGCGTTTGGGCTCGCGGGGTTTCACCTTACGGTTGATGATGCGGACGGTCTCCGAGAAGGGGGAGACGGGAGGACGAATGCCAGCACCACCACCCACGCTCCCGCTGTTCTGGGGATCTGGACGGGGCAGGGGGCGCCGGGACATGCGGTGGCATCGCCGGATGTCTTTCTTGAGCCGGTGCACTGCGGCGCTGGAGTGGAGCTTGGGAGAGGAGGTACTAGAACCAGGCTTGACAGAAAAGTGTACATCCCCAATGTGGAGGGCCTCCGCTTGGGCCCGAGCCTGCGGTGGTGGGGAGAAAGAAAACAAACAGGGTCAGAGAGGAAGCCTAGGTAAGGCAAATCTCAAACCAGGCATTGCTCACCTGAGGCCAAGCACTCACCAGCAATGCTGTGTCACATTTATACCCAACATTAACGATAAGCATGGGTACACACCTACAGGCCACTGATAGCTACGGCACGGCCCCCAGACAGGCACGAGGCAGTGTCTATATCCTTTTCAGGCAGCTAACGTCTCCCTAAACTGTGCTCCTGTTGACACATGCTTTCCCCAGGGAGAAACTGCCAATTTTTCCAGGCATGTTTCACGGTTACAGTTAGTGGTCTCCAAGGCCCCCCGGGTCATCATCAGCAAATGTACACAACCCTACACTGTCAGCCAAACAAGGCAGCATCCTCCTAGACACTGGGGCTGTTAGTGCTGAGTTAGCACTCAAAATTACATACCAGTCCCAAGACTGGGGATTGTATCTTGTACAACATGAGTACGAGAGGACAAGTAATGCGTTCAGTTTCCTGTTTTCCTCCCACAGCCAGAATCATCTCTGGAAAGCATGGTAGAAGGGAGTCTTGAGGAACAAAGATGGAGGCAGGCAAGAGTGGTCTGATGGAGTTGTCTTAGCTAAACACAAGAAATGCAGAGATCTGAAGCTCATTTCTAACTAGGGCCACATGCAAGTCATTCATCCTTACTGTGTTGTGGGAACAAGGTCCAGTGTTTAAAGCCAGATATTAGGTCAGCTGGAATTCAAGTCAAGTTTTAACTGCACCTCCAAAGAAGAGACTGCCTTGTCCCTTTAAACACCACACTTGTTTGAAACCTAGTATTGGACCAGAGCAGGAACAGCACTAGTTCAGCTGTGCTGTGCCAGACCTCCCCAAGAGCCAGGTCAGGGGAACAAGACTTTTGAGCTCTTCTGGTGCTTGGAGATAGTTCCAAAACCTGCCCTGGTTCATGCACCAGAGACAGGAACATTTTCTGGCAACAGGAACAACAGTTTCATTGGTAAGCTGGTGCTGTATGACCTGAAGACCCTGTGGGCATGGAAACCCAGAGTGCATTTTTACATCACACCCCACCAGAGCACTGTTGCTTGTAGAGCTCAGCCTCCCACCTGCACCCTGCTCCTGGCCCAAATCAACCTGCATTCATATTCCCTCTCAGCAATGGTGACAGGTAGAAGTCAAAGGGGCCTGGAGGGGACAGGAGAGCCCCCCTGTGATTTCCCATCCAGTGAGCAGCTTCCCCCACCTCGTGGGCACAGCAAGAACTGCAGTGCTAGAAGACAGCTGCTTTTCCTCCCCAACTTTTCCATCCCGTTGCCCCTTGCACACGCCAAGATCGGGATGGCTTCTTGCCAGCTAAGAGCTTAGCACTCAACTCCATCTCCTTTGTCACCCTGCAGGCTGTGCCTCCTACCAGAGAAACGCCCAGGGAAAAAAATGTGCGTGTAAAGGCAGGGATCTAACAGATCTAAGCAAGGGGCCCAGCCAGCCCCTGCACAAAAAGCTCAAAGCCCTGGCCTCACAGCCTCAGAGCTTTGCTGTTACCCAGTGCCCCACTTCTCCCACAGAGATCCCTATGGGAACCACAGAAGATCCCAAACGAGCTGAGAATGGAGACGTGAAGACATTTTGTTCCTCTCTGGTTAATGCTGGATGATCATGGGTGATCAAGTACTACTTGTATTCTGGCTTAAAAACAGCTGCAAAAATTAGTCCTCCTTCTTGAGCTGTACAGGAAAATACAGACTGAAGGCTCATCCAGACCAGGAATTCTGTGTTAGCTGACTGACAAAGAAACAGGGACAAGTTGACACAATCGCCAAGGCAGGCACAGACACTCTTCACATTAACAAACAGGGCTGTTTCCACCTAGCTAGAGGGGAGTGTCCCCAGCGCACACAAATGCAAACACATCCTGCTGTAGCAGGAAGCATCCCAGTGTCCAGCTAGTTTCTCTTTGCTCAGCCTTGTGTGTTGCTCTATGGCCCAAACTGTTGAGAAAATAATTTGACACAGTTCCTTGTTGCAGGCATCCTACAGGCTGGAGCACAGCAGCAGCAGCAGTAGCAGATGAACTCCCAGGGCCACGCACCATCTCTCCCCATCTCATCAATACATAACCTGGAGACACTGCAGACCCTGTCAGGAGGTCACAGGCACAGGCTGTGCTTGCTCTCTCTCCTCACACGTCCCTCTGAAGCAGATGGCAGACACAAGGACAAGCTACAGTTTGCTTTCTGACATTACATATCAGCATAGCCTGGATTAATAAATATATTTCTCTTTTCCCTCCCCTTCCCCATCACGGCTAGCCCTTCCAGCATTGCTGCTCTTGTGCTTTGGGCTTCTCACCAATTTACCCCTGCTCGGCCGAGAGCAAAGTGCAACACAAGTCCCGTTCCAAAATGTGGGACAGGAAAGCCAGGCACAGGGTGCAGACAGATGCACTAGTGAAAACCCTTCACCTACAGCTTCAGCAGATAGACCCAGGTATCCCTCAGGGCCTCTCCTGCTGCCAACACTGCACATCTTTCAGATTAATTCCATACCCTGTAATCACGCCTTGGAGTGAGTTCTGCCCCCTCTGTGCCATTCTGCTGCAAGTCAAATCTAATTGCCATCTTCCATCACTACCGCCATCCATCACCCATGGGAAAGAAGGCAGCTTCCCACAAGGGTGGGGGAAGCAGTCACAAACACCCTCAGTTTCCTTGTACACCCCAAAACTCCTCAGCAAAGCTTCCCATCAATCACATTAAATGATGATGCTTGGATGGTCACTGCCTGGCCACTTCCACAGTCCTGCTGATTTTACTTTTCTCTGCCTGCGCACATTAATCAGCTCTTATCCTGTTTTGACAGAGAGACCTGTCTTGGTTTTGCCCTTGCACAGCAGCTAGTGCAGAGCTCTGGTGCTGGGCTAGGACCTTTCCCGTGTGCCAGAACCACTAGGTCTCCTTTACTCACTTATGTGTTCGCATTTCCAGTTACTTCTGGGGCACTTCCTCAAGGCTGAAGCTGCTTCTAACTCATGTTTCAGCTGTCTGTGTTTATTAAATTCCAGTTTCAGTAATCTCCAGGTAGATTCCAAGCAGCATCAATACCTTTGGCCAGGTAATATTAAGAGAGAGGATAATTTGGGACCCGACAGTCCTTCCCCAGTGCTACACTATTATCCCCAGTGACAAGCTTCAATGCAAGTTCCAAAGAGCAATATGCAAATATTCAGCTTACCTTGAGATTGTTTTTCCAGGTAAGGTTTCAAGAAAAATAGTATCAGATGCTTTATCTAAGACCAACCCCCAGAGCCCTCTCACTTGCAAAGCTCAGTATTCCTACCACAGGATCAGGTTTATTCAGACATCAACTGTGCAAACTCATCCCTTCACTGCAGAGGAAGCACATTTTCTGGGCGCTCCTTCCCCTGCTTCCAACTTTACATTAAGTAACTTGCTACCTCTGGTTTGGAGAAGACTCAGCATTCAGTTTTATCTGTTGGAAGCGCACTTCTTTCTGCTACGGATCCATTTCTCGATCACACTCACAAGCCATATGAGCATAAGGTCTTTGAAAAAACAAGCCCATTTAATCCTTTCAGCTGTGTCACCACAGTTTTCTACTTGGCTCACAAGTTTTCCAAATGGAAGCTACCTCTCTGGGTTTTGCTGTTTTCACCCGCAGGATGTGCTCACTGCTGAAGAGGTACTCAGCATGTATACGAAGTAATTCACTTTCTGCTTACAGCTCAGCCTACATCAGGATGCAGCTTCTGGAGGCTTGCTGCAGTGCTCTGTCACGAGAGCATGCCAATTGCTAGGATTGCTTCCCTTCCCCCTCTTCCCTTCTGGGATACGTATCACCTTTATTTATCTTGTACAGCTCTCCCTCATTGCCCCTGGGAACTAGTGTATCTCCCCCATTCCCTACTATTTCTGAATAAATGTCCCTTGAGGCCCAGAAAGCATATTTGTTCATTTATTCCCTTAACACGCTGAGGCACACAAGCACATACACGGACACGTGCTTAGAAAGGCCTCTCTTACCTGATTTGTATCAAATCTCTCCAATTTGGAAGGAAAAAAAAAAAAACAAAACAAAGACCACGTAAGGCAAAATGGATTTCTCGTTAATTATTTCAAAATCAAGCCAATTCCAGTAGCGCTGCTGCACCATAGCAGCACAACTCTCTCATAAATTACTGGGTCTGCTTTGCCTTTTATTCTCCACCTGCATTCCCACAGTCCTTGCTCCAAACAGCATTCGCAAGTGCTCTTCTTTCCCCTTTTTGGCTGCCATTCTGCCTTTTTATCACCCTCTTTCTTCTGCAGTCTTCCAAGTGACAAGGCAAAAGCAAGCCAGTTCATAGCACAGTTCTCCCAAGCAACACTGCCATAAACTAAAGTTTCCCTCTGGATGGGGAACAAAATGCTACAAAGGGGAACGGTCTGTTTTCAAACCACTCGGGGATAATTTACGAACAGGGAGGAGATCAAAAGAAACCCAATTCCAACTTCAGAGTTCAAGAAAGGGCAAAGCGACAGAGCACCACGCTGCTCAGCCCCTTCTTCCCCCACTCTCCCACTAAGAATCCCCTTTAGTCTGTTCTCTCTTACTTCTTCCTTCCCATTAACCTTCTCCACCCTTGTCCCCTTAGTATTTATGGCCACCCTGACTAAGGGTCTTTGCCAGCCACCCACTGAGCTTGCAGATCGGGCTTGGTCTCTGAACAGCACTTGCTCAACTTTATTAGATGAGTTGGTGAGTTTTGCATTCCGCACAGCAGAGTGCCTAGGGAAAAGCAAAATAAAAAGAGCAAATCGAGCAGGAGTATAAGAGGAAGATCACTACAGTATGTGCTGTATCTCTTTCTAACCTCACACCAGACACCTAAGGTAAGAGCCTTACATACAGCGCTGCTTGGTTCAGACCAAGGACTCCACTTCCCACCGCTCAGCACAAGGCTGCAGCATACCAGCAGCCTCCCAAGAATTACAACCTCCCGCCAAGCTTGATCTCAGCTGTGGGAAAGTTTGCCCCTAGTATGCAGAGGATAAAGACCCACTTCCTGCCCAAAACTTTGTAGTTCAAGTTTGCAGGGGTCGCTTTCAACATCGGCCATCTTGACAGTGATCTTACAAAGTCTGGACTGTAATTTGCCTCCACAGTCTGATCGAAAGGGCAAGTGTTAGAAACACGAGCCTGGCTTACAAAGGCAGCAGGTGGCCAAAGATGCAGCTTTTCAAAGCTTTTCCAAAGGCGTGGGCCACTAACCTGCTGGAATGCTTTCTGCAAATCCCTCTGGGTGCCTATCTGCAACTTTTGAGAACTAATCCTAGGATAAACCTAGCCTCAACTGCAAGCTGGAACACCCACACAACCCAAGGGACTGAGCGGCGTATCAGGGCACTTATTTTGATGCCATCCTGGAGACTCAGAAGCCTAAGTTTAAGCACTGATACACATGAAAAATCCTAGTGAGCCACCAAGTTGAGGGCAGATTAGTCTACCAAAGCAGTCCTAGGCCACAATTCTGCTTAAAAATCATTGCAACCAGATCTAATCTGTTCAGTTAACAGATCAAAAAGAATATTGTTCTAACTGCCAACTTCAAATACTCCCTCTGGGATACAAGAATCAAATTTCTTCCCTTGCTTCTGAAATTCTCACTGGCGAGAGATTCTGCAGCTGAGAGAACTGAAAACACTGTTAGCGAGGCGTGAGACAGTCCCACACCTCCCATATCAGCACCGGTGCTGTGGGGCTGGCAGAGGTCAAACGTGCATCCTCAGTGGGTCAGATGGACTGACGAGGGATGCAAACCATCACAGCGTCTCTGCCACAATTCTACCCACAGCTGTGTTGATTGTGGTTTGCCTGAATGGAGTGCAAACAAGTTCAGATAGCGCTGGCTGAGATAGAGTTACTTCTTGTTGCCTGGCCTGGGGTGTTATTTTTAGGGTAGGATCCGAAGTCACAGAGGAACAGCAAGTCAGAGCCTTAACAGTTCCTCCAGCTTTGTTTCCCAGAGGTGCAAACCAAGAGGCAGTGGAAGCGCTCTGCCCTGCCAGCCTCTCCCACCATGTGGCACCAGCCTTCACGACAGTTAATCTTGCTCCCCATCATGAGCCACCTTCTACAAAGTAGTGAGCCAGCTCCACAAACCTACAGGTTTTCATTACTGTTTGAGGAGCTGGCAGAAGGAAGATGTGCCACAGAAACGTGTCACCGACGTGATTCAAAGGATGCTGTTGAATAATTCAGGTTCCAAGTTTAGGGGGGGGTTTAAAGGGCAAGGGGAGAAGAGAAGCAATGAGTAGGTTTTGAGTTTGGGGGTTGGTTTTGGTTTTCTAGATGAGTGAAAATGACTTTTTTTTAAAATGAGTAATAGGGTAACGGATTTTTGCCATATCACATTCAGAATCAAACCCAAAAGAAACTGATTACACATAGCATAATCACTTCTCTGCAGCTCTGAACAGTGTCAGGTGTTACAAATACCAGTATTTTTTAATTCAGACAGAGAACTATTTTAAGCTGGTGGTTTCCCTTTAAGTGTTCCTCTGCATTGTTGGAAATCTAAACACAAGGGTTACATTTAATGCATGACTGCCAGAAAGAGAAAAGCCAACTAGTCTGGTTTCCCTGAATATAGCATGAGAGGTAGTACACATCAGATATGTTTGTAATTCTCAGTCTGCAGATACGTAACACTGATAGCAGAAAAACAGGCAATGAGGAAGGACAGTTCCATCAGCAGGACTTTCCGAGGATTACCACAGTCCCCTGGGTTTTATGAAGAGCATCGGAATACGCCTGTTCCTGTATTTCTTCCGTGTGCTTCGTTATGTCCTCTCAAAGCAGAAAAGAGGTGACACCCTACCCCTCACTGCTCTTTCCAGTGCTCATGCAGTTAAAAGCGCTGCGCTGACTTGAGTAAAGCTCCTACTGCTGCCAGGCAAAGGAAAGTATTAACCTGTTTCACAGATGGGAAAACACACACAAAGGCTAAATGACTTGCCCAAAGCCACAGGATGACTTGGTGATAGTGATGCCTTACCACAGGGTCCACACTGGCTGTTCCAGGGCTTTATAGCGGAATAAAACCAGGGAAGCTGTGGACTTGCTCATCTGTCTGAACTGTACAAAGCTGTGTTCCTTCTATGCTCATTTGAAGTCTGAGATTGTGACAGTTGGAGAGGAAGAAGCGGGAAGAGGGAAATAGAGCAAGGTGTTTTGTCTGTAAACTAATAAACACACAAAGCTCACATAGCAGTCACGTAGCTACTGGTGCTTTTAAAATGAGAAAGTAAAAAATACAGGGAGGGCCTGCACTAGGGACTATCTTCCTTGCTCCTCACTGCAAGGAAGCAGAGATGCTATGACAACATCTTCTTGCAGAGATGCTGAGTCTATCACAGGAGAACTGGAAACTTCAGCTGCCATCCTATGCAGAGGTGAAACACTCCTCCTCCTCCTCTTCACTCACCCTCCCTGCCCCCCACAAAAGCAAAACACGCCTGCAGTTTACAGATCAAAACATGAACCCTTCATGAAACTCCCATGGAGCACCTATGTCCTGAAACACAACCAGAGGAGTACAAGTGGCAGTAGGATTCCCACCTCAGCTGCCTGACCGCTCAGCGTGCTGCTAAGTTGCAGGACATGGGCTGGATGGAACAGGCTGCTGAAGGAAGAGGGAGCAGGGCTGGCTAGCTCTCCACTGCGGCAACAGAAGGCCGTGAGAGGGAGAGGATATTGGAAAAAGAGATTGCAGCCTCACCATGCACATCTGCGTGTGCCGACAGTCCTGCTGAGGCACCCGTCGCACGCACACTCGCTCTCCCCTCACACGCTTCTGTGCCTCTGCCCACCCTCCCCCTTTCCTGTCGGTTTTCCCCGCGCTCCCAGAGCCAGGCATGAGGCACAAGTCACTTGAAAGTCCAGTCCTTCCAAGGGCATGCACCGGAAAGGTTTGAGAGACATTTGGCTAGGCCCAAGTTATTTAAATAAGAGTTACCTTCATCAGAAAAGTTTTAGGTTTAGGTCCTCTCTTCTTGGGCCCGTACAGCTCACGCTCTCGTTCCCTTTAGGAAGTCAAATTTGTCAAGAAGTTAAAACTTTTCCCAAAGGAGAAACAGAAGCATACAAGTTTGATTTAAAAAAAGAAAAAAAAAAAGATAAAAAAGAAACAAGGAGAGCCTGGACACTCTTTCCCGCTCGCCCACCCAAAGCCAAACCTGCTGCTGCACCCACCCCCAGCCTGGGGTGGGGGATGAGCACTCACTTCTGCTCGAAGGCGGCGATGAGGCGGGAGTCCAGGATGTTCTCCTCGGGTTCCCAGGTGCTGTACCTGTCGGGGTGGGAGCAGTGAGGGGGGGACAAGCGAAGGGGTTAGCGCCCAAATCCCTCCGGACCCGTACACAGGGACATCCTCGCCCCCACCCCCATCACATTCTGCCCCAGCCAATGCCCCCCACCTCCGCAGCCCGGGCGGGATGCACTCACTTGATGGCCCAGCCTTTCCATTTCACCAGGTACTCGATGCGCCCCTGCAACAAACGGGGGAGAAAATGGGGAGGGGGGGGGGAATTGTAAGGCGGGGGGCCGGCGCGTGGGCCAGCGGCGCGGCCCAGCGGCGAGGAGCGGGGCAGGAGATCCCACGGCTCCACTCGGGGCGGCCCCTCACCTTTCGGATACGGCGCTTGATGATGGACTCGGCGGCGAAGACGCGCTCCCCCACTGCAGACAGCTCCATCTTGCTGCTCCCCCTCAGCGGCGGCGGCGCCCACAGCCCATAATAATCCCGCCCGCCCGCGCGCGCCGCCCCGCCCCCTGCCCGCCGGCCCCGCCCTCCTCGTGCCGCCGCCGCCGCTGGCTCGCGCACGCCCGCGCGCCCCCTCCCGCCGCGGCCGCGCGTGACCCCCCCCCGACTGCCCGCGGTGAGAGGCCCTTAAAGGGGCCGCGCCCCCGACCCGCGGGACGGCGGCGCGGCGGGGGAGGAAACGGAGGGGAGGGCAGCGAATCCCGCCCGGGCAGACCCCCGACATGGCGGCGGTGTTGCCCCTTCCCGCCTGAACGGGGCCTTTTTTTTTTTTTTTTTACTTAAAACAATGGCGGCAGCCGCCTCTTCTCCCGCTGCAGATGCACCGTCACCCCTCTCACCAGCGGGGAAGCAGGCAGCCCCGAGGCATCTACCAATGGCAAAAATCAGCAATAAGGGCGCTTAAACCCTTGTTATCTTTATTTTTTTTTCTCCGTTTGGCCGGCGTGCATGTGTGCCAGCATAAGGGGCAGGTTTTGTGCCAGTATAAGGTACTGCAAGGTAAATGGGCCAAGCATGCTACAAAAACCTGTAAAAAACCCCAGAAAAATGTTAAGTCACTTAGAGGAATTTCCTGCTCTCTTTCTGCAAAACCCTGATTAATTTGCAGTGTGCTTTACACTCTCTTGCAGGTGCTATAAAGACAACGAAACAAAAAACTCAGTCAAAAATCATTCTCTGGGACTCAAAATGGAAGCTTACAGCCCTGCTGCTGTTGTCATGTGGAGCTCAGGGTCCTCCCTTACCTGGAGGTACCACCTTGCACAGCCTGTTCTCCTGCTTTAATTCTCACCTCTTTTTTGGGTGAGGAAAGGGTGCATTTCAGATATCCTCTGGAAAAAGTGGGAGCTGTGATGAGGGCCATAGGCAATGTCCAACTTGCTTTTGCTGCTCTTTTTCAACCCACCGTGATCTCAGCAGGTACCTACAGAGCACTGGCATTCCTCTTCTACCTGTTCCTCAGCTGGCTTGCCAGAAAGCACTCACAGCCCCTGTGGCCTTCACGAACCCTTTCTCTACTTGTACTCACCTTCCCTTTCCACCTCTGGCTCAGGGGTTTCACCCAGAAGGAGGATATTCCAGAAATGGCTATATTATGGCTATAATATCAGTACTAGCAGGGATGGAATTCCCAAAGTCAAGACAGGCAGGTAGGAAAACGAATGCTTTCCCCGCTACCTGCGATTCAGCCAAGATCCATCACAGTGTTTTGTTCTTTCTCACCCTAGCACTTGAAATGTTGCAGCCACCACAAGCTCCCTGCCTAGAGGAAAGGTGACTCAAGAGAGGACCTAATCCCCACCACCGTGTCCCCATTTGGAGGGCAGTGAACAGAGAGGTTGCTGAATACTGACAGAGACAGCAAATGGACAGTCACATGGACCCTGGTCCACAAGATATGAACAATTCAGAGAACTGAGGTGTTTCTGTGGTCAGGGACTGAACCACAGTATGCTCCACCACTGATAATTCTGCATTTAGGTCATACCCCTCACTTCCAGAATAGGCTGTAAGAGGCCCTTTCTCAGGTATTTGGCTTCATGGGCCAAGCAAGAACTAAAACCTGAGACTCTCACCTAGAATGGACAAGTTCTTCTGAACCACCCTGTTTCCCCAGATGCCATTTATCTTAATCTCAGTTCTTCATACACTTGAAGGTGACTTCAAAAGAGCAAGTTCATCACACCCATTGTGTTTTGCTTTTCACTTTTTTTAAGTTTGCACATTAAGTGTTCATTAACACCATCGACATTTAAATTAGCGTATTTGTTACTGTTCACTTTGTTTAAAAGACTCCTTTGATATTTGTAGCTGAGTGTCAAGCAACTGAACCTTCAACCAGCAATATCATCCACCCTAAAAAGCAGCCACCCCTAAACCCAAAAGGGGCAAAAGTCCTTACATTGCTACACAAACACATGTGAAGCAGCCAAGACTGGTGGCCTTGTCCCGCAACAGACATATGGGTCATGAACAGCACACCTCGCCTCAGGGCAGGAGCACAAGGCACCCCTGATCCATGGACCAGAAGGGGCAGTAGCATTTCAGAGAGTTCCATGTGTTCTTTCTAGTTATTTTCTCCTTCCACCTGTCAGCAGAACCTTCTTTCCAGCCTCAGCGACTGCTCAAATCACTGCAAGCTGCCATTGCACAGGTATTGCCTAACGCTTTCATCTAACTTTTACTCTCACAAAGCAAAATAGTAGCAGCATATCCAGCTGTTCAGAGCATTGTTGGGCGTTTCCTTTGTTTCATTCACATTTCCAGTAAAACACTTAAAAAAAAAAAAAAAAACAACCACCTGGGATGATGGCTCTTCCAGAAAAGCTATTGTTCATTACAGACACTGGAATAAAACATGTTTCCGTCACCTCACTGTCTGCAAGACCCTGGTGCCGTAGGATACACTGCAGCATTTCTTGCTAGCACTGGGAAGCAATAGGCTTTGGAGAAGCAACAAGACTTTTCTCACCGGAACCACTGCCCTGCGAACAGCAGGTGCAAGAATGTTTTAATATATCTTTTAAATGGCACTTGATAATGGGAAACTCACCTGCTCAAAGCCAGTAGCTGCCTCCAGGCTAATTTTCTGTGGACTTGTAAGGAATAGCAGCGCTTACCTCCATGACAAGAGCTTCAAGGGTCGATCAGCTGACTCCAGCGCTGTTTGCTCCAGGGAGGTCACTCTCAGAAGCGGCAGATTTCGGTAAGGAAACGGTCATTTCTTCACCTACCCCAGGAGCAGGCACAGCTGCGCGCACCCAGCCACCCTATGGTCGTGCAGGTCAAAATGGGCTGAGGTTTCACTGCTGTAACTCTGGAACACACGCAATCAAAGGCAGATTCCTCGCAGCTGACCAAGTACCTCCCCACACACTGGGTACAGGTGGCTCAGCGTGACCCAAGCAGTGGTCAGAACCATCCCTCCGGCCCGCTAACTTTTTGATGTAGCAGAGAGAGGACAAGGCCTATGGGGTTTATGCTGTGCCTACACCACTGGGGTGCTATGATATCCCTGGGCCCAAAGCAGGCCCAGCTGCCCAGGCTGCTGTTTGCATTACACAAGTCCCCCACGTTTATTGCGTTCTTGATTCAAAAACAGCGGCTTGGTGAGCAAAACGCTGGAAAGAGAAGGACCAAGTACAGGGAAGATCTGTGGCACTGAGTGAACAGGAGGTGACTGCCATTGCAGGGGTCACACACACTGCATTTCACCCTGTGCTTCTCAGAGAACACGGAGCTGCCCAAACTGCGTGGTTCCCCTTTTGCCGAGTGGCCTTGTTCTCAGGCATCCAAAGGGGAGAGCTGGGCAAGGCAGGCTGGCTGCATTGCATGGATCGGAGGGGTGGCATAGCAACAGATTATAAAAAAATAGAAGTTCTGCCCAGATTAACCTTTAATCCAACCAACACATGCATGCAACAGGACAAGCTGTTGCGAATGTCTAATGCCAGGCAGCCTCTGCAGCATTGGCAGGGGTAGGAAGACACAACCTCCTGAGTAGGCTTTCCCGTAACTCTGCACTGCAGTTTCTTCCAATCCAACTTCACCTGACTCGCTTGCTGCTGCTGCTGCCAAAGAGTAAGTGGCTGGCTGGAGTCCTGCTCCAACGCCATCACTCAGCTCCAGCCGCCCTGGCTCAAGGCAAGCATGCTAACGGCGCTTTGGTGACATGGGCAAAACCTGATCACACTGCCTCGAGCCATGACCAGCTCAGGAAATGCACCCCATCCCCCTCTGCTTTTGCTCTGCATGTTTCTGTGCTTGACGTCACAGCTGTGCTCAGGTGCAGGGCTCACCCCCACCTTACGTCTATTAAAGGCATCTCGGGCAGCCCCATTCGCTTGCTGAGGTACCTCCGTAAACAGCTTATCCTCCCCCTCCACAGAGGATGGAAAGGGACACGTCTCGAGGGAACAAGTCAGACACTGAAGTGGACTAACTGACATTTGGGATTCTCTCCAAGGAGTATCAGCAGTTCCAGTACTCAGGCTCCTCGGCTAAGCCCTGCTTTACCTGGGATGAACCAGGGGCCAAACTCTGCCGAGGAGCAGCTTTGCTCCTGAAGAGGTCCCTGGAAGCCCTGCAGGAAAACCTACTGGAGGCTTTGGCTTGGAGGAAAGTTGCTTCCCTGCTGGCAACCAGTGTGGAGCGTGCCTGGCAGCCCAGGCCCTGCCTCAGCCTTTCTCCATTCCCACAAGAGACACACGATACCTGGCACACCGGCACTCTCCTGGTGCTGGCAGAGCTGTCCTGGCACCGCAGCCTTGTGCAAGGAAGGATGTACAGAACTCCCTAAAGCCAGAGCAGCAGTCACCCTGACATCGGCGTTCTCCTCTTCAAATTATAATCCATCAAAGACCAACCGTCCCAGGTCACCCCTGTACAGCTCTAACTTACCCAGTGGGTTAAAAATTAATAAAAACCTGACCTCCTCCAATCAAAATAGTGAGTAATGTCAGAAACAGCCTTTTGCAGGCTCCATTCTTCATAGATCCTTTTTTACTGATCTTTCTCATGCATGCACGCACATTTTCCATTCTTTTTCCAGCTGCACTGCATGTTTATACCGATAGAAGTGACTGGTGGAAAATAATTCAGGTGTAGAATTAAAGCAAGGGGAGGTAAATGACCACACAAACAGACCAAGAGGTAAATGTCAGTTCTCATATTTAATATTTTAATAATTTTGTTTGCAACATTTACCACATAAATCATCTAAATAAATAGATGCTGTACAGTCTCTTATCCATATCAGTACAAAAATAAAACCACACTTTGTGTCAAATTATACTTGAGCTTGCCCTCCCTTTGCTATTACAACCTCCTTTTACACCACATACTTGCTCAGAAAAGGCATTATACTCTGATTGGTTTGTTTGGAATTGGTTTACTCCCTATTTCCCCCCCCTCCCCAAATACATTCAATTAGTCTGTACAAAAGCTAGAAGCTCATTCTGTGCAAAAGGAAGCTTTCTGTGTGCAAAGACTCCGATACTCTAGCGTGCTGACAGGAACAACAGCAACAACTGAAGAGACAGGAACAAAAATATCGGGGACCCTCCCCTCTAACTGACCCTGTCATCCCCCATCTTCCCCCCCCAACAGAAAGGGAGCACACCAAATCAGTGTGCAAAAGAGCCTGAACGATGTGCGTACGCCGAAGGAAAAGGTTGGTGCTGAAAACCCAGTGAAAGAACTGGGGTGTCGTCCCCCCACGCTGTAGAGTTGGCTAGGTAAGGACTCTCCCCTTAGTCTGTTCAAAAGGTTCTTGACATACACAGAACAAAAGCTTCATCTAAATTATTTTATTTCTTTTGTTGCCATTCTGCTGGAGATGAGGTGAGGAAACGGCCTCCGGAACATTCCAGCAGCTCCTGAATACAGCTCCTGGTTCACCCTCCCTCTCCCCACTCCCTGCAAAAGGACAGACATCTCCCTGTTCCTCAATTAAGCTAATAAGGTGCAATTTTTCAGGCAGGAAACTCTATGAAGACGTCTCTGGAGCTGGAAGATAGGGTCATAGTTCCAGACTAGGACCACACCAACTGAAACTCAAACTTCTTTTTTCCCTTTCCTCAGTCAAAGGAGGTGGGGAGGGAGGAAGCCAACCTGCACCCCGAAGACGAGTGAGGGACTTAGCAGGTCTCTCCCACTCCCTCAGGGAGCCCTCCGTTCCTTGGCATGGCAGAGCACGCTCCCCTCCAGCCATGGGAGGGAGGCAAAGGGCTGGGTGGCAGCTCTGGAAAAATGATAAGGAGCAGCCAGCAGCCTGAAAGAGATACATCTTTTGCTTTTCAAATGCCACTTTTTAGACAGACGATAAGGAGTACTTAGCACTCCTAGTGCTTTGCATTTCCAAAGTGCTTCAAAACATACTTCAGGTTTAAAAGCAAAAAAAAGCTACTTAACATTTTGACAGATTTGCAAAAAGCTTCTTCGTGCTGACACTACGTTTTCTGGTTAAAAAAGCAATAATAATAAAAAAAGGTTTTTCCACCTCCTCCTCCAAAATCCCCCTCCCAGCCAAAACTCTGCTATCCCAGTAAAGAAATAACCTGTGACAGAGGTTCCAAGCAGTCGTAGGAGCTCTCCCTTTCAACATCTGACTGGCACTCTCGGAGAAGAACCCCTACCATCTTTGCAGGGCAGCCCACAGCAGACAGAGGCAACCTCAGCAGCCAGGCTTCTACCCCAAACCGATTTTGTAGCAATCCATCCCCTCCCTCCCTGTCAGCCCTTACATGCTCCCACTGAGCTCCGCATCTCTCTGCAACTCCCAGTTAACTAGGGATCATCTCCTACAAGTTTATTATACCCTTCAGGAAAACCCTTATGACAGGCATGGCAAAAGCAACACGTGCCTTCTACCTGTATGTGCCAATGCTATGCATTCCCATACAGAAGTTACCCTCTGCAAGCTGTTAATGTACACATCTCCCTTGCCTTCCCAATTGGTAGAAGACAGATACATAAATGCAGCAATCACCACCTCCTGTCCATAAGGCCCTCGCAGAACTACAACAGCAGATGCAAGGGATCAGTTTCACTACAAGTTCTTTGTTTCTAACACACCTTCTCTCTCAACTACCAGCTCGCCCAGGCCTGTCCTCAATCACCTAATGAGAGCAACTCTGAAGCAACTCTATCCCTGTCTTCCCTGACTGGCAGCTACCCCTACTATCTTCCCAGAAAGGCCCACTGCCCTCTTCTTCCTAGGCTGCAGGTAAGCCAGGGAGGAAGAGAAGATGGATAGATACCAACTAGCTTTATAAAAGGAGGTTTTTGCACTTTCCCTACTTCAGAAGACAAAAGCTTAAAGCTTGAGAGGAGAGGAAGGGGTGGAGAGGTGGTGGTAGACTTTGCTTTGCTTAATACACAGATGTGGCTGACAGTCCCTGCTGTCTTCCGCACCCTGGCCTCTGTTGTGGCTACCACAGAGGGTCCTGCATGAGCTACCCTGCCTATTTTTTGACCTGTGTGAGGCCTCCCTTCTCTATTCCAGTGAAACCATCAAGCAGCACTAGCTGGCATACAGCAGAAAACAATACTGGGGCCAAGGGCCCCCTATGAGGTGAACAAACAATTTTATACATTCAGTCACAAAATACCAGAGGAACAATTCCGGAC